ATCATTCTTTTTTTTAAACTTGCCTTTACTCCAGCTTTATTTGTCTTCCTTTTTTAAAATTTCAATCAGATTCTGGATATCTACTTATTAGTCCAAGCAAAGGTTAAGTAGAAACAATTTCTAAAGACAGTAGCACGTAGGCTCACTATGTATAAAACATTAATTTAAAAACCATATAGTGTATGCCTATATTATCATGTTGTGCACAGTAAAAGTATGGATAATCCAAGAAAGACCCTGAGATCCAAAAAAAAAAACCCAACCAAAGCAAGGGTTCCACAATATCATGTAACATGTAGACCCATTACAGCAATAACGGCACAGCGGGCTTTAAACAAGCAAGACAGAACCTGCAATACGCTAAGCTAAGTGTGAATACAGGCTACTGGACAACAAAAAACTAGGACAGTGGGCGGTCGATAAGAAAATCAATTCCACGTAACACCTCGATTATAAATCCTCTTACACAGGCTCGCGCTAAAGTAGAGCTGCTTTAAATCTAATCATTTTATACAATGGGACATAAAAATCTTACCAGCTGCAACTGCAAGTCAACAATACACCTTAGGGCTCTTCGCGGCATTTTGAAGAAAATATGATGACTAAATGGACTACAAAATATCCACGATCTGTGGACGAAGTCTGTTCCGATGGCTCTGAACGCTGAAGCAGTTCCGTCGCAAGGGACGCACACTCAAACAATTACACAGTGGGAGCATTCAGTATATATTATTTTTCCAATATATTTTGAGCAGTCTTTGGCGTCTATCACTTTTAAACTAACAATATAATGTATTTTAGAAATTTAAATTTGTAAATAGTAAGACTAAAAAATTTTAATAAATAAAGGTTGCAGAATTTGGTTCGATTATTTTCTAACATAATAATTTCCCCATACGTAGAGGGCGCTTCAAGTCAAGACTTGTTGCTTGCATTATTCGAAGTGTTTATTTTGAGCTGTCAGGATAATTACTAGAATACAAGTTCTAAAAAAAAATCAAGTATGAATTTGGTTATAAAGGTCATATCAGATTAGACAAAATGTTTATTTGTAAGAAAAAGGTAATTGATGAACAGGGATAGTCATTATTTGGACCATATTCTTAGTACGATTTTATGAATAAAAACATTTTTTAACCTATAAACTTCCGGTTCCGGTGCAGAATTGTAAACAACGATCACAGAAAATTCTGTGACAACTATTATTGAGTGAAGATGTCGGACGACTACGACACAGTACAACGAGGAGGTTTAAAACTAAAAGGGGTCTCTGATACAAGTGGAAAAAAGTAAAATTGTATTTTTTAGTTTACCTAAAGGGGGAGAAATTCCACGTGATTCATTGTATCATGTATGTATGGCACTGACACTGAAAATACTTGTACAAAAGTTTAGTCTAGCCTCCTCAGGTCCAGGAGGCTAGCCCTCATCCTGCGGGAGCCGGGTTTATGTAGCCCAATAGGCCACCTCTATTCTCACCCGGAGTGAGAATAGTGCAGGCGAGTCTTGTGGCTATTCTCACCCGGTCGCGTTCACCAAATTTTGCGTTCACCCTAAACCACAGAATTCTACACTGTGATAACAGAAAAATTGTAGAATTCTGTGCCGTGAACAAACGTTCCATTACAACTGTAGCCTACTAAAAGCGTACAATTTTGTCTGTGGGCAGTGGAGAGAGAAAGAGAGAGAGGAGTAGCGCGAGAATTTCCGGGCAAAACAAAATGGCGACCCGCGTAGTTCGGCTCGATTCGAAAAGTTAAATAGCCGTAGCATCTTTGTAGACAACCAAATTAATTTACTTTTGTGTTTTAACATCATTTTTTAACTTTGTTTTGGTCAATTTGATCGTCCACACCGATAGACAGTATTCAGAAAGAGACAGAGAGAGAGAGAAGAGGGGAGGAGTTGATCTTGCGAGAACTTCCGGGCGGGTGAGAATAGCCACTTTCAGCCCAATAAGCCTATTTCGGCACCTCGCATACGTTCTGGTCCCGAATCAGTGTAACTCCTGGCTCAGCACGCATCCTCTTACGTGTCATTCGGGTCCCAAGTCGGATCCCCATTCACGCAGGTCAAGTGTGTGTGCGTCAGTCTGCTTGAGTTTGTGTGCGTTTGTGGCCTTCTTCTTGAACCGCCTGCGTTGATCTGGGCACAGACGCAGGATAAGAGCTAGTTTAGAACCATTAGTAGTTAGCCTGATTTTGGAGATCTAGGCTAATATTAACTCTTAGGATCCTGCGTCTGTACTTCTTTTTGTATGTTTGTCACACTCGTGTGACCCTCTTTTTCAAGGGTGCCTTGATAGTCGAAGCAGACTTTGTGCTGTTGAAGCTAGAAAGATGAGCAGAGTAAGTCTGATTCCCTGTAAGGACTTCTCTGTTGACATCCACCCCTAAGCATTCATATAACCTTATGCAGTTGTGAGCGCTGTAAAAACCTCTACTTACTTTTTAAAAATTTCAGCATCTTCTCATCCAATAAGTTTTTGCTGCTCAGCTGTTTCAATGACTTACTGTGTTCTATATATTGTGAATCATGTCATGTGGAATTCTCTCCATGTTTCAAAAAGTTGTTAGTCAGTGTCGTGTGAAGATTGCACACACCATGTTTCCTCCCTTGTGGGAGAGTCATATTGAACCTATCAATTTATGGCAACAATCAGTTATCAGCTTATATGACTTTCTCAATTTAAATGGTAGCTTCATTTTTTTTTTTTTCGTTAGTTGCAGTACTATTGTTATGTGGTATATTTTTCCAGACCGAAGGGCTGGAATTCAGATGGTCCCTGGATCAGTAAAGTAAAGTACCATGGTATATTTTTCCTGTGATTGTATAGAGGTTTTAAGATAGACTTACAGAGTCTGTGAAGATGATAATTGATCTATTCTCACTTGTATGCTATGCTTTCCACACTGACACTTGATAACTGGGTTTTTTAAAATGTGTTTCAGGAAAAAGAAGAAGCACAAGGATAAGAAGAAACTGCAGGACACTGTTTCAAAGACCAGTGCAGAAGAGGTGGAAGAGGTTGTTCAAATGAAATCTTCAAAATCGTCAAAAACAAAAGCTGAGCTGGCTTTTGAGAGAAGGAAGCGGAAAAAGGTTAGAAAAGTAATTTTGTCTTAGTTGTACATTTGTTTGTTGCATGTTTTAAAGAATCTTTTTGACTTTTATTGATTCCGCCCTTGTATTTGGAGACAAGAAGTAAAAAACATCCAAGCATGCATGTCATGTGGGATCCTAGTCTTTAATCATTGTAGGGCCTACTGCCAAAACTCAAGTAATTTCAGAGAAAAAAATTATCAGTTTACTTTTATGTTTTTACAACAAAGCCGATAACAAACTGTGTCAGCTGTGGTTAAGCCTGCCAAGTACTGGAGAAAAAAATCAGAGCTCTGGGATTTTTTTATTTTTTTTTAAATTTTAATTTTTAATTATTTTTTTTCTTTGCAACTCCAATTTTTTGGAGAGAATTCTTAAGAAACTCCTATTTTTGATCATGGAGGGATTGGTAGGTCTGTGTTGTTTGTGGTTCAGGTTAACGTCTTGTGAAACTAGTAGTAGTGGTAAGAACACATTGTTAGATATGTACATCTTTTGTGCTTGAGGTTATTTTGTACCAAATGTGTGAAATGATCCTATCACTAGAAGTTTCTGGTTGGTACCGGTATTCTTTGTGAGTTGTCATTCAGTTGACATCTTCTGTTATAATAAGAGAATAAGAGTGCTTATTTTCTGCTCATGAAAACTTGTAAGCAAATTGAGCAGTTGTCACATAGGGGTCTTGTGGACAGATTTAGCAGTTGTCAGGTTTTCGGGTGTTTGAAGATTGAAACAGAGATTTAAGAAAAATATGTTTGTATTAGCATTATCTGTCAAATCCCAAAATGAACACGTTTTTCAGTCTTAAGTTTGTAGTGAGTGTTAATAAATATACTACCTTTTTTGGCTTGTTTCCTGTCTCTAGAACAAACTATTTATTTTACGGAGTGTGTGTTTCTAACTTGTCCTTTATCCGGACTAAAAAAAACTACCCCCTTTGTCAGTTGTTACACTCCTGCCTCTGCCATGAGAGAAGAAATGTTTTTGTGGAGAATGAATTATTTCTTTGAAAGGTACTGAGTACTGTGCCTCTTAGTTTTGGTTTGCAGTGGTCTCTGCGTGATAGGAACCCAAACTTCCTAAGAAACAATTCTAACCCTCCGGGGCGGTGCCACTGACTGAAGTGTCTTTAGGCCATTCCCAAAGGGGGGGACATTTCTCATTCAAGCTCAGTTGAATTGTAAATGGGCTGATTCATCGTGTCACGCTCATAACTGTGCCTGATCTACAATAGGGAACTGCTGCTTTTTCTTTCCTAATCCTTACTGTTGTCATTTATCCTCTACTTCCTTTGTATGTTTGTGTGACCCGCTATTTCCGGGGTGCCTTGATAGTCGAAGCAGATCTTGTGCTGTTGAAGCTAGAGAGGTGAACAGAGTAAGTCTTATTCCCTGTAAAGACTTCTCTGTTGATGCCCACTCCTTGGCGCTCATATGACCTTATGTAGTTGCGAGCGCCGTAAAACCCTCTACTAAAAAAAAGGGGGGAAAAAATTCTAAAAAGAGAAATCTACCGCCTAAGAACACACATTTAAGCTCAGGTCACCAAAGGCCAAGTGGCCAACAGTGAAGCTTGCAATGCCCCGTCTGCTCCTTTAGAGTACATCCCTGCGGGAAAATGTTAATGTTGCTCTTGCCTCTGTTGATTTCAGGAACAGGAACAGATCTTGGAAAGAGCCTCCAAAAGTCACAAGGAGAGAATCATGGTAAGAGAACAGTACAATGCTGTTGTTGGGCTCAGACTGGCCAATTCCAGATTTTCTTCAACGTAAATTTTAATTCGTTGCAAAGCAGGGTTAAATAAATCGTCTCATTCATTAACCCCTTACATTGCGTTATGATGTAGCCTACCTGATACGAAGTGAAAATGTGTAATTTTTCATGCTGTGCCGTACCAGGTACGTCGCGGGAGTTGGCAAAATTTGCCGCTCCTGCTTGCCTTTATGACATTACAGGTACGGCACGCAAATAACCTGGCTCAAATTCTTCTGTGCCGAGTTTTAGCCACAAGCGCTGCGTAGATTCGTATTGGGGAACAAAAGAAGCGCATATTGGTATCTTATTTGCTAGTATTACTTTACTGTTTGGCTTGCAAGCAATCGATAAACACAGGTCTAGGCTTGAGGGCGGCCGTGTACTCTCGTAAAAGGTTAACATCGAAATGACTTAAAAAGGGCAAATAAATTCACTTTTTTTACTTACACTTGCTGTTTTTTCAAAATAATGAGGAAGATGGGAGGAAAGTCGGTATTAAAAAAATGACACAATTGAAGACCCGGTGTCCGAAATATGTCGCGAGAGCGCTAGATCTAGACAGCGCATCCATCGACACTGAGACATTAGGCTGCTGTCCTGAGTAACGAGCTCAGGTGAAAATCAGCGCTAACAGTAGGGATGTATAGATCTACCCCCTGGCAACGAAAGGGTTGAATTGTGTAAGTAGTTCAACAAATGGACATGCTTGAAACATTGACGTAAATTCAAAATTGAAGTGGTCTTTGATAATTCAATTAGAATTTTAATGGTTTCTAGCCTGTCTTGTAAAATATGCGGAATTCTAAGGAGATTGTGAGATGGCCTATTTATACTCATGTCCATCAAATTATACATATATATATTTTAGATAGCTCTCAGGTTTGATTTACTTGTTCTATTCATTCACCATTATATATTTATACAGAGTTATATTATTATTATGTAAGTGTTGTGACACAGACTCTGCCAAGCCAATTGATGAGATACAATCTCATTCTCTGTCATGTAAAATAAACTTGTTTCATATTGGGGGAGGGGGGATATCTAAAAGTTGGAGACATGTGTGTCTTGTCATTTCTGATGACATCCTGATTTTGAGAATGGATTACAATAAATTACATAGAATGTAATTGGGGGTGGGGTTGTTGCTGTTCAGGTGTACTGTGATGAAATTCATTCACAATTTTGTTGTGTCTTGTCCTCTAAGTATTCTTTTTTCTTCTTTAATAATTTTTTGGGTGTGGTGTTATATGGTCGCTTTTAATGACAAGCGGGCTTACCCAGATTTCGGGGGTTTCCAGAAATCTTGACCTACATCAAAAGTGGGCATTGCCCTACCTATAGGAGGAGTTTGGTTTCATTGGTGTGTATATTTGTTTGGTTATAATAGGGAAAACTCCCCTTGTCTTTAATAGAAACTGAACAAGAGGCAAAAACTTTACCTTCAATTTTCTCAAAACAGCAATTTTTCAGGATAGCCCCCTTGCGCTTAAAAGCGACCATATGATGTATATATATTTTTTTTCTTATTGTTTGTCTGTATTTCTTTGCAGGATTTCAACCAGCAGCTTGACAACCTCACTGAACATTTTGACATCCCCAAAGTGAGCTGGACTAAATAAGACTTTGGACTCGTCAGTTCTTCACCACATGATAGATGTACATGTACTACCCCATTCTCAGTGGTCATCAATCTGTTTGCTTTTTTTTATGCTCCCATTTTTAGAGTCATGCTCACTCATGTTTCCTTTTTAAGTGTAATAAATGCCTCTATGGAGTGCCACATTTTTCTCTCTTGTTCTTTGTTGTGTGTCTACACTTTTTTTTCCCCTCCTAATTCTTACTATCGTCATTTGCCTCTACTTCTTTTGTACGTTTGTCACCCTCTTGTGACCCGCAATTTCCAGGGTTTCTTAATAGTTGAAGCAGACTTTGTGCTGTTGAAGATAGAGAGGTGAGCAGAGTAGATCTGGTTCCCTGTAAGGACTTCTCTGTTGACATCCACCCCGTGGCACGCATATGACCTTATGCAGTTGTGAGCGCCGTAAAACCTCTACTTAAACAAACTTTTTTTTTTGAGGGGGGGGGGGGGGTTTTTT